AGTTAATAAATATCATTCTGATAGTGAGGTTATCCGCGGCAAATGCACTGAATCAATGACGTTACCAACCGATTATAAGAGGCACGACAAAGGTTGACGGTAAAACGGCGATTGTGCTCATTAGAAGGAGTGCGGCCAGAAGCGCTAAATAAAGCGACGGAATGACATTCCGAAACGGTTGTCCAAAGCATTCCGGAATTGTACTGATACATACCAAATTTAGACCGCATATTGTTGCGCCACTGAAAAAAACGATAGACTCGATAAAAATGATAAATTTTGCTCATTGTCAGTATTCTGAGATTCAGTTCACAGTGATTGGTAAATACCGCTTGGACAAGCAATTGAAGTTTACAAAGTAGCGAGCAACAGATATCAGAACTAGACCAAATACCTACCTAGCGAAATAGACGATTGCGAGAATCGCATTGGCATTTATTTCCGATGAACTGGCCATTTTACATTTGGCTAAACCAAAAGTAATTTTTCGATGAGTCCTGAAATACAATGATTCGCGTCATAAGCGACATTTCACCTCGAAAATTCTTCACACACCATGATGATTATTCGTTAAAACTCCTCAAAAACGTATTCCAGTACCATGTGAACGTGGCAAAGTCTACGTGATCAAATCACCACTTTTAAGAGGCAACTGTAATCAAAAACGGAGACAATTGTAATCAAATCACTTTTAGGAGGTAATCTACGAGGCAACTGTGGTAAGGACAATGAAAGAGCTAATCATTCGGACTTCAAAGATGGAGCAAAGAAGTATCTTTAATAGTGAAACTATTAAAGTTAGGTGCTACTGAATGATTTGTTATGTGCAGTTGTTGAATTATTGTGCCTCAAAGGACGACGACTCACTTTCGATTAATAAATAATACCAGATGTGATGATTGCAAACAAGTAGTGACTGATTACGATTCGTAGTTTTTTTTTTCATCGTTCTTAGTTTTTACAAGCTCAACGTTCCAATCAACAAAAGCAAATCGACTCTAGCTTCAATTGCAATTAATTCAGCTGGCTCACAACTTGATCGCACTCACTGCAGAAAGTCTCAATGTTCTTGTTACATATGAGTGTTGAACACACAACTGTTTCGCAATGAATGATGTTCTTCATTGATCATGCATACGATATTCTAAATCTAACACAACAGCAACCTCTTTAAATACCATTGAAATCCAATCCACTTAGTACTATAGGATATCTATCATTTTTGGCATAATATACTATTCGATTAGATATCAGGGCAAGTTGGCTGGTTTAACTATAGTGGCGCACTCAAATTCGCAGATCAACCGTCTGGATGGATGAAATAAATTCAAGTGATCAGATTAAAATTGAAAAGATCAATGGTGGGACACCGACAACAATGAGTGATTTTTTAGTGATCAGGCCATCTGGAATGGATGGATCTTCATGGGTGGGGCGGACCGGGCCGGGCTGTCTTGCATTTATTTGAAGCTGGGAGATTCAGCCGACTAACAGGTGAGGAGCAGCAGAAGGCATAATACGCGAACAATGAGGCAATCAAGCGAGTTTTTTTTTGAGTAAAGAAATAATTTCACATCCGAAACGAACAATTATTCCATGTCATTAAACGTTTAGATGTGTTCGCAATGACAATTAAATTGTGGTAAATGAGTACTTAAACGATTTATCAGATCTTATCAACAATGAGCAAATGGGAAAACATCAATTTTCGTTATGTTCATGCACACATTAACGATTCTTTATTTGTAAACAGCTGTTGAGCGATTGCCAGTTATATTGTGCAGTAGAAAAAACACGAATGAACTTTAAATTCCATTTAAATGGAGTTTGATTGAAACTTCTCAAGTGATATTCATCAATTTCGATTTCCTAATCTACAGAAGATTTTTCGAGAAAATTTGTCACAACTTCAGCATTCACAAAAAATTTTATCACTGGTTACCTTTAGAAGAGATTTCCCGTTTTTGGTGTGTTTCAAGTTTTGAGTGTAAGACTGGCAAACCTGAAACATTTTGCAGATGCAATGAATTTTTTTGATGACAGTAGCAGACCTCTTGTTGAAAAAGTGATGGACTTATTCGAGAAAGATCCCATTCGCAATTTTGATCAGCTGTAAGAGCACACTCATCGACCCGATCAGATCATACGTGGATCTGTTCAAAGTGCTCTTCTTAACGAGCAAGATGCTCGTTAAGTGATAATTCTGTGATAATGTTATGTGATANATAACGTTAAGTGGCAATCTTAACGAGCATAATCGTTAAGTGATAATATTAAGTGATAATTAGTGATAATTGTTTATCTGATTATCAAGGAAAAGCAGTTTTGAATTAGGCTCGCACATTTGTGTGTGTACAACACAAAAACGCCTCAAATGAGCAATCGAATGAAATTTCAAGGAGATTATTTCATCGAATAGTCTAATATAACTTCATTTCTCACGAAATTCTTTTGATGGTCGCATTCAGCGTGTTGCCATAGTTTCACGACATTGGCAACTTCTTGCTGCCGTTTAAATTACCCACTGCGGTTATCAAGTATTCAATCGGAGAGTTTGTTTAAATCAAGCAGAATGTGATGCTGTTGATGACCATGAACGAACGTCTTTTCTCTGATTAACGCAGCCACTTTGAATTTCAATTATCGTATGACGTGAACGTATTAATGAGAAGGTGTCATAAGTGTTTTCAGCAGTAACTATCAGGATAAGTTTACAATCCACTCAACTTCTAATTTCACTACACCGCTTTCTTCATACATCAGCTGGTCACCTTATTTGTCACTAAAAGTCTTTAAATTGCATCTGTCTTATGAATTGCTCTCATTAATTTACTCGATTGCTAACAATAAGCTTTAATTACGATTACCTTGAATGTGAAAGCGCTTTAAATGTTTCATTATCCAGAAACTATTATATCTTGATACTAATCACTGACATGGACACCTGTTTTTCTGTTCCCGTTGCTAATGTTCCACTACAGCCATCATTGATGTACGTTGCTATAGGCTATGTTAATTTGAAAAATGTTATTTCATGCATGTAAACGATTCAGGATATAATCTTCTGTGAAATATGCCTTGCATAGGTGAATTTGGATGTTCGCTTGATCTCAATTTGTTCGATATTAATAGTGACTATCCGTTTTTTTTTAAATTTTGAGGTGATAGAATCTGTTCACTTGAAACAATTGCTTCTAATCAGCGTAATCTGATTTATCTGGTTGGATAAATCTGAATTGCCGAGAAAATACAATTCTCATTGATTCATAATGATTAAGTGATTCGATGTGAACTATTGGCTGGCTCATTTCGTGACGTTTCCAAGTTCCAAGTGTTTCCGTGCGCTGTAAATGTCACCGTGAAAACGCAATGTTTAAAGGAAGACGGTGGAAATATCATTTCAGTCGTTCAATTAATTGACCACTACACACGATCATCGACAATATAATACAACCATTCACATTTTCCAAGAATCTAACAATTACGAGTGCGTAAAAATGCATCATTTCAATGTGTGTGCACCTTTCTGGTTTAGAAGCTCATATTTAAACTGCAATGAAATGTAACTGCACTTTCGTGTCATCGTGCCTAGTTCGTTTCCGTTCAGTGATTCCATTGAACTATTCAATACGATGAAGTAACGATTTATCCAGCAATAGCCACTAATTGAAACGAGTGACAATTATTGAAGCACGACTAATGAAAAAAAAGGAAATCGCTAAATTGAGAAAGACTCGAACGCTTTTTGCAAGCGTCCTCTTAATGAAAACCTTGAAAAATCCCTTAATCTTTCTGTTGTGAGAGCAGCATTTTGAAGGGCGACTGTCGCCGACGCAACACTCCACAATCACATCAAAATCGTGCTTTAGCACAATTTCAAAAAAATGCCATATTGTGATTTCAAATTCCACAATATTTTGTAATCAAACTTTCTGCAACTTGTAACCAAATTCTACAGCTTGTAATTAAATTCTGCAACTTGTAATTAAACTTTCTGAGTTAAACTCTGAATTATACCAATTGCACTTTCAATGAACACTTTTGCATCCGGTAATTACATATGAAGTAGCTTTTATTAAGCATCTCGTATCACTCCTCTAAAATTAACTAATTTTATCGTATTGTCGCTTGTTCATCGAAAGTAATCGTTATGATGCGCACATGAGTCNTTATTTTAACGTCTGACGTGACTGTTTACAGTGTTGCTTCATCTCCTCAAAATAATGTATCTCATTGTTGAAACACGGTAAGATGCCGGTTTGATATTATCCTATTAATCATGGAATATCGTTCACATGCGAATCAACATGAGAAGAACCAAATTGAGCATGTATTCATATCTTATTGATCCAGTGAATATCTTATTGATCCAATAGCAGTGTTTGTAGTTTTGATGATTTCACATCACTCAATCAACATGCTCATCCTCAATTCTTGGTATGCTGAATTCGTACACTCCAGCAAAGCTCTACTGCATGGAAAACAACGCATTTGTTCCGATAATTCAGTAGCAATATGTACCTAATTGCGAATGTGAATCACTTGGTGTTTAAAACAATGTCGAATGTTGATGTTCCGAGATTCGAACTCACGAAAGTACGCGCAATATTGCCTAGTCCACATTGCAGGTTGTTGGTTGCTGCAGTTCAGTATCATGATGAGTTGTTCACGTAATCGAATTCTCGAATGGAATTTGATCTAAACGTTGGTTGATCTATAAATGGGCTGCACCAACTCCTCGCAGGTTAACGTATCTTTTCACCATCCAAATCTTAGCAATTATCAAGATTTGGACGTCTGGTGGACGTTTTAGCGTATAATACAGTGGTTCTCACGTTCCGGTGCTCCATTACCCGTACGGATGATATGGCAGGCCGCCGTTACCCTCCCCCTCCCCGACAACTCTAAATTACCCAAAACGGGTAATTTCACTTCCTATGAGAAGCACTGTCATAGACCATTGTGTTGCTCATTATTGCAATTGATTATGATTGCATGAAAAGCTATTGTCTGTGACACGCTCACTTCAAACTGATTCACATGGATTCTCATTCCTTACAGACGTGTTGTATTCACTCTCATAGCTATTGCATGAGAATACCGTTCTCTTCATGACTTTTTATCATTCACTTCGTCTCATTTCGCTTAACAGTTACAATCAAATTCTTATTCTGTGACATACACTGTTTACTTGATACGTTGACGAGTGTTGACAACCGACGTCAACAATACAACAATTGAATATTATTGTTCAACAACGGTCGACAATCAAATGATCAATTATAGAGTGTATTTGATAGAATGAGAATTTGACTTTGATTGTTGAATGAAATGAATGAAAAATCAGCAGAAGAGAACAGTTTTGGTGATAAAAGTCA